ATCAAACAAGCTGCTGAGTGCGTCCGCTCAATTCTCAAAATCGACGACATTGTAAGTGCTTAAAATAAAAATGCATTAATTGTTTATTTTTTTAAATCGACATTTCACTAGTTTGTCTCTTCAACGGCTCCTTAAGAAAGGCGGAAATATTCGGAAGTAGACCAGTTGGTAGCAAATGCCAACATCAACCATCCCTTGATAAGGGCACTGATAGGCCCTCTTCCAAGCACTTCTTAGAAGCAGTTTGGCAACGGACAGCTAGTATATACCACTAAGAATCTGTATTTAACACGAGTGTCTTAAATAATTGGTTGTCGTAGACGGAACTCCTTTTCAAAAAACACTGTGCACCAAGAGGGAATTGAACCGCTCCTCTTCACATCTGGACATGGCGTGTTATCCACTACACCACCGGTTCCTGTGCTTAGTGGAGCACCTGTAATCTGTATGTGTGCCGTCTTCATGCGTACAACTCTGTACACCTTGGTGCGGTTTCCATCATGCAGCGCCTACAATTCTTGCTAGCTTTTCGCGGGACTTCCACGACATTGATTTTCTTAATGATTGAGGCTAACCTGCGATTTTTGGTATGGAAAAAGGCGCGACTATCTACTGCTCCATGCTTACTGGAATAATTAGTGATACTTTGACTATCTAGATCTTCCAGAACCTTGGTTTTTTGCTTCCATCTTGCAGAACCCTCAGTTTTTTGCTTCTTGATGCATCCTAGTAATATCGCTAACATCGAATCCCTTGTGGGGGTTGTCCGGGTGATTTTGTTGATTTTGATAGTAATTGGTTTTTATTCTTTTGAAAAATCAAATGTTGCAGGTGATGGCAGTACGTTGAGACGACGACTCATGTGGGCGCCATTTTTTGGCTCCCATTAGAATTGCTTGCTGGCAATGGAGAATTGTTGCTTTTCTGCTTTATCATGAATCTTTTTTAAATAACAGTTGATATAACTGTGATTAAACGAATTATCGTCGATTGTTTTAAAAACTAAAATGATTATCAGCAGGTTATTCTTTGCTTTATTTTCCCCCTCCCTTCTCCCTTTTTCTTACCTTTCCTCTGTCGCGTTTTTATCATTAATGTTTAATCAGTTAACCAGATAATTGCTTTTTTTTGAAATTCTGATTAAAAAACAATAATTGATAAGGTCGGATAACTCGGAGTACCACAGATGAGTTTAAGATGCGTTTAGTTTTTTTTGTGGTAAAAAAATTACGGTCGTGTTTTTTAAGGTGATAAATTTCGGTAAAATCATGATTGATGAGGTGGATTGCTGTTTAAGATCATAACTGTGATAAGGTGAACTAGCCGTTAAGACAACGAGTGATAAGATTACTTGTTAAAAAGACTGTCAGC